CAAGCAGCTGTGGCTCGGCGATCCCGTCCCTGAGGAGGTGGCAGCGTGAAGGAAAGAGTCGTTCTTCGTGGAGAAACCCACGCAGGCAGCCAGGACGGAGGAGCTGGAGAAGTGCAGGTTCGTTGTATGGAGCCAGGGGAAAGATGGGGTGGCCTGGACGTGGAGAGATCCAACCGAAAAGAGTGTTCCTGCTTGTCGGGTGATTGGGGTTGGCTTGAAGGGGGCCTGGGGACAACAGCCAGGGCTGGAGCTGGACCAGAAAGCTGCACAGAAAGCTGGGATGCTGGTTGGGCTGGGTGACCCCACCCTTCCCAAGGGAGATGGTTTCCAAGGCAGGTTTCATCACAGTCTGAGCCTGGAGTTAATTGAAGTGGTGATACAAAGCAGATGAACGCTGTGCTCTCGGAGCGAGAGGGAGGACGGCAACAACAGAGACCACGACACCCTTTGTTTCTCCTGGGGAAGCATGACAGTGAAGTTCTAGGTGGACAACATCTCCAGAACTTGCTCGTGAAGGCCCTCACTCCATTTTCCTCCCCAGCACCTTCTCGGGAGCTCTCGGAGCCGTGCCCTGGGCGGTTTAGCACTGCAGCAGCACCAAAGGCAGGGTTTTACACCAGGCACCTCTCTCTGCTCTTCCTGCGTGTGCCTTCATGCTGTGTTAGCGGCCGCTGGAGTTTCAAGCAGGAACCCAACACCTTTGTTCCTTGTTCCTGCTTGCATTAATGCCCGTGTTATGATTTGAATCCCCGTGACCTTCCCTGTCTCTGACCTGTAACATCTGCGGCTTCAGATGTGAGGCTGCAGACAGGCAGGTTTGTCTGGACTTGGGCGTCTCTGCTGGTGCTTGAAACGTGACAGAATGTGTCCTCAATCTGCTCGGTGTCTTTGCCTGTTGTTTTGCCCTTTGATGTACGACTTGCTCGTTTACGGTTTTTAGCTGAGAAGCAATCTGGCTCCTGCAGCAGGTCCTGGATCAAAGTTCGGCAGGTTTTCCAAGCGTGACAAGCTGCGCTGGGGCAGTTTCAGGGCTTGCTGGGAGCGAAGCGCTGCGTGAGAGCTTGCAGCGTGTGACGGCATCTCGATAACACCACCACCTCCCCGTGAAGATCTCTGCCAGCACAAACCTGAGCTCTTCCTGGCACTCGCCCAAGAGGGATTTGCTCGCAGATAAGAATGAACAAAGAGGGGGGGAAAGCACCCTGCTGGGGTGTGCTGGGGGGGGCTCAGTTGGTCCCAGTCCACACAAAGCCCTGGATTGAGTGGTGGCTTTAGGCAGCCGAGCTCTCCATGCATGGGGCTCAAATCCTGTTTGAACAGGGATTCTGCGTCCGTCCTAACGGGAAGCTCTGCCATCGGGGCATGTGGGGAGGAACTCGCAGGAAGATTTATCGTCACCTGGCATCTGTCCGGGGCCCTGCTCCCTACACCCTGCATGAGGATCCGCGTGGGCTCGCTCCCTGTTGGAATGTACAAAGCTGGATCGTGCCTTTCTAGACCGAGCAAAACGGGACGTGCGTCGGGAAGAGCCTTTCCCCCTCGTTGTGGGAAAGAGCTGCGGTCTTGGAAGGAAGATGAAGAGAGGTTCTTGAGCTGTTTTCTGGATTGCTGCTTTTCTTCAAGCTTCTTGCAGATCCATCCTGCGATTTATTGCTCCCCTTGTTTCTCCTTTCTGCTACCATCCTCTGATTTCTGGCCTGTCCTTCCTCAAGAAGGGGCCTTTGGCAGGCGGGGAGGCTCCCGTCATGCCAACAAACGTCCATCGGGAAGCCTGCCAGCCTCCCATTGGATTCAGCTGAAGCTGACTCTCAGCAGAGCTCCCCAAAGGCGAGCGGCCTGTGCGTTGACCTGGGATGAACTGCTAAACCGCAGCCAGCCCCACTCGTTCCTTCGGCTTTGGCAGGGAACAGAAACAAGCTGGTTTTTGTCCCGTTTCCAAGCGGCTCCGCTCGCTCTCTGCGGGGAAGGCTGGACGAGGTCCAGGTTGTTCCTCGGAGCTGAGCTTGCGAGGTTTGCCCTTTGTCCGCCCCACTGGCAGGAGCGGTGGGGCAGGGAGGGGAGGACGAGGCTGCACCCGGAGGGGATGGGGCAGCACCGCGGCCCTGGGTGACAAGGGGGGGACGGAGGGACCAGGGGTTCTGTTAGCCAGGAAGGAGCTAAGGAAGCTCTCTTTGGTTTGAGCCGGTCTAATAAAATTTCCTGAATTTAAACCCTCCCACATCCTGCTTAATTTCCAGGGCTTCCGAAGGGGGCTGGAGGCTGCCTTCATCCTGCCGGGGCTGTAATGCTGCTTCGGGGCTTAGCTGGAGATTTAAGGCTGCACCGTGCTTGCGTGGGTTGGGTCTTAGGAGCCTTCGGGGAGGATTCTGCCTTCCTTTTTTTTTTTTTTTTTTTTGCTCATCCAAGGGATCAAATACAAGTCCCTGGTGGGCTGGAGCTCGATCCCCCGGCAGCTTGACTGTGGCTGATGGTTCTCAGATGTTTGTGGAGGTGACGTTAAAGTCTTAAGCCTGACAGATCCGTTCATCCTTGAGCTGAATCTCTCCCTGCTGACAGAAGGGTCTCCTCTTCTTGAAACCGAGCAGCCTCTGGCCCTCTGAAGAGCAGATGGACACGCAGGAGACCTTGCACAAGATGCTGTCACTCATGTGGAGCTGTCGGAGACCCTCTCAAAAAACTCAGCCAGCCTTCAGATCTGTCATTTCAGGGAGAGATCAGAAATGTCACCCATGGAGGGGCAGAGGGAGGCAGGACAGACCTTGGCTGAAGGACAGGAGCTGGTCATGGCCATGTCGCCTTAATCCAAGCTGCTGATGGTGTTCCCCATCCGTGTGCTTTGGGAAGGGGTTGTGGTGTTGGATATTGTCCCACAGGGAACTTGCCTGACCTCAGACTGGATTCCCCATGGCACTGGGGAAGCGTGGGCTTGAGAAACACCCAGGTTCCAGGATTTCCTCCAAAGCTCTGTGTCCTCTCCATGCTCCTGATGGCTCTGGGGAACTGCAGGTGACTGCGTGCAGCCTCGGCACAACGCAGCTTTTCCTGGGGCTCTCAAGATTTCTGATTAAAGGTTTCACAGGCTCTTTTCTTGGCTTAGCTCCTCTCCAGAACCCTTGCAGGTGAGTCAGCACCGTTACTGGAGCACAATCCTGTAGCCATGCTTCTCTGGCAAACAGTATTTGCACGCTGCCTGTGTTTTTTCATTTTGCAAAGGGTGTGGATCTCAGTGCTCCTTCTCCTCCTGGCCCTGCCATGAAGGATTTCTTGATAAACCCAGAGAAACGGAGTTCTTCCCTTGTCATTTTTGGCAAAAGAGGAGGTGCTGCTGGCCGCAGCCGGCTCTTGGCGATGTCGGCGCAGTCCCGCTTGTCACGAGGAGTTGCGCAAACGTGGCCGATGAAAAGGAGAGAAACATCTGGGGGCTGTTAGGAGGGAGAACCAGGCTCCTGACTCGGAGCAAGGGCTGGTTAGCGAGCGCAGGCTCTGGAGGTGCTGCTCAAAGGAAGGCTGAGCAAAGGTGGAGCCAGCGTTTGGTTGTGTAACGGGCGTCATGTGCGTGTTTTTGAGCTTCCACGTGCGGCACTAATCCCGTGGCCTGCTGCTGCTTGACTCCCCGGCTGCAATACGCTTCTCGATGCAGCGGTTGATATATTTTTGGGTTCTCCTGCTTGCAGAGACCGTTGTGGCCTCTTGGACCCTGGAGCAAGAGCAACTCGAGCTCTTGGTTTTGCATTTACCAGCTCTTTGGGTAGGAGGTGAACGAGTTTTGCTCCAGCCAGCATCAAACCAGCCTGCCCGTAAATGCTGCG